AAATAGGGTGAATACATCTCATTACAATGATTTACTGGTAGTCTCGAAACCCTACTTTCTTACGAATTAAGTCAGGAAGACAAATCGGCTCGTCTTTACATGCTATATATGATCAAAACGACAACTAAAAATAAGTGAATAAAATAATTTATAGGACGATTTGGTTATCCCGTTTCCATATCAATTTAAGCAACCCTATTTTTTAGTTAATATGTGTGCACGCCTGCGTATGTGTCTCAACGTGCGAACGTCCGGACACGAAATTATGGTCAATTAGATTCAAGTTTCACGCTTTAATAGTCCAAGGAAACGCATGAAATATGCATACATGTACACACTCAAGCATACAAGCACTTGGACTCACAGAAAAAGGAATCAACCGATTCATTCTATGTCCCTTCCTATTTAGTATTAATTTATTGTTTGTATAAGTACATATCTCATTTTAGGGGAATCTTAGATTAAGATTCGCCTGCAGCTCTTTTAAGCGGGCTCCATTTTTACTAAAACAAAGCTAAAGTGGCGCTAGTCTCTGCAAAATGAAGGAAATAAAATTAGGCATGCTTGAACAGTCTGGAAACAAAATGCAAAGTATTAGGGCATCTCACTCGCCGCCAGCCCTTACTTCGTCTCATGAGTCATCACTTAACTGATATCGATTTCCCCATTTGTGAGTGGAGGTGCTTTAATCAAAACTTACAATCTAGCCTTTAGCTCAAATCGATCCACCTAAGCCTCACAAAAGTACTTGCTGAGAGGCGGTCTACTTGGACTGACGACGGTTCGGCTCAGTACAGAGAGTCTAATCTACTTTTTCTATGGTGACATGTCTTAGTCGACTGAGCAAACAGCGGCTGCCGAATGCCACCTAAAATCGGGGCATCTACGACGTTATAATGATGCTACCCAAGCACAGCTCAGCCAGTGAGGTCGGTGAAGGCAGAACGCTCTCGCAAGACTTGGCTCCAAATTTCTCTCTCCGCCCTAACATCGGGGCGAGCATGAGTCACTAATAAAGCGGCACTTTTACTCGTCTTGTCTGCCTTCTCGCCTCACTTATCTGCATTACATACAGACGGACAACACGGATCCTTAGCTGAGGTGAGAGACAATCATGCAGTTTTCCTGCAGAAACGAACATTCCGCACATTTACTCGCTCCCCTGCTTCTTACTTTGTCCGATCTTCTGCCTTATTTCTGGCCTCGGAACCAGGCGTCGCGTTGTTTACTGTATCACTTTGGAGAACTGATTAAAAACTGCATCGATAGGCTATATCCTACGGGGCCAAGTGGCGCAGTGCCTGAGAAGGTGAGAAGAATAATTGAAAAGTTTCTTAAATGATAAGGTTGGCGAAATAGAAAGCCGAGCTTGGAACAACGGAAGGGAGCCCCAAACTGGGGACTATTTGGAAACACCGCAAGGCAGACAAATGAAATGGAAGTAAGTTAAGTGAAGACGATGACAAGAGGGGATGCATGTGAGGCAAAAGCAAACGGACAAGCAGGCAAGAAGACAGTGGCCATTGTATGGGCAGAAGACAGGATAGCAGACGATAGAGAAGTGACGAGAAGGCAAAGAGTGAGGCAAAAGAAAGTGGCGAGTAAGCGGCGAAGCAAAGGTAGATCGAGGCAGGCTGGCAGCGATGCAAGCGATCCACTAATTGACTGGCCATGCTCAAACCGAGCAAGCTGGCGGCCGGGCGTGCAAACGAGCGCGCAAGCCGACAGCAAGTCAGGCAGCCAGCGAGGAGAATGAATGAACACTCGAGTAATCACAGCAGCAAACAGATAATGATGCAACCGAGCAAACTGTGATGTGACCATTCCTTTGAGCCCACCTAACCATCTTCAGAGCAGTCAACCCAAGCGTAAGCTCTGTGCTCATGGCCTCAGGCTCTCGTGAATGCGATAAATCAGGCCTTAATCACTACGACTAGATTTTAGCGAAATTAGCATCGAATCTAACACGTAAACAAAGAAGGTGAATTGCCAGTCAAGCCACAATGAAAGGAGAAGGTAAACCTGTAAGCAATGTGGCCACTTTTTCGGGCAATTGTGTCGTAAAAAAGCTTGTTAGCCCCGGGCGGGATGAGGACAAGCACTGATTTGAGTCATCGAGCTGTCACTTTGTACAGCCAGACTGAGGTTAGTGTTGCATCGGGGGTCGGAGCTCTCCACAACTGAATTAGCGGGCAAAAGGATTTCCATGTGGGGGCGATCCGCGGCCGCTGAAACGAAAGCAGTCGCGAGGAGATATTTAAAGGAGCAGGCTGATTCGCTTCGTTCTGAGCACTCCATGAGGCAATGCCACTGCCATTTTGTGACAGGACGAATCCTTTATGCGCTGATTGCAGCCTGGCGGAGGAGTCTTAGTGGAGCACGCGGCTGGTGTCTAGATTTTAAGGCTGTTGGTGTGAGCAGAGATGCGTGGATTCGCGCTCTATACAAAGCATGTAAAAGAAGGAAACGTGAAGGACAGACAAAGAGTTGGTGTATGTGAAGCAAACTTGGGTTTCGAAGAATCGCTTGGTTTGTTAGTGTCGAGCTCATTTGCATTTCTAGCGGAGGTTTGGTGAAGTGATTCGAAGGAAGCTTTTAACAGATGACGATGCCATATTCCTCTTGGACAGCTGTCGATTAGCTCTACTGGAACATTCTTGTTGACGCTGTTTTTGAGATGATCTCCTCCAATTTCGGGAAAAACATGGTAAGATTTATTAGTTCATATGATGGACACTATCATAGAAGGGTCTCATCCTTAAAACAATATTCAGGCGAACGAGTAAAGGAGACTCACCGACCTATCCCTAAATGCCTTATATATACCTCATATACAAGCTGTTTGCTGAGACCTACATTGATTTAGTTAATTAAAGTTATATGTCATACGTTAAACATGCGTATCTGTCTATTTGCGTGTGTGTATTCAGGTATCTTTGTGTTTTTTTGTATGTATGAAACAGTAGTGATAGCTCAAAGTAAGTTGCACAGAAAGTAATGTTTGTCCTCAGTCACGAAGGTTTAATCATCACCACCGCAATCTTTTCTGTCTATTTTAACCATATTAGAGTAGGGTTTCGAGACTACCAGTAAATCA